TCTTACCAGTCTTTTATATATGAAGACTAAAATAATATACCCTTGATTGAGAAAATCACAAATGCTCTGTAGCTGGTATTATAATTGTGATCACTTCACACTTGCTTACATTTAAATGAATTCATAATTATATCTTATCATGTGAATGTGTTTTCTGTATGCTTATTTCTAGGACTTTTATTTTGGCACGTTAGTATTACGTCATAAGCCTGCGCCATCTGTGATTCTGCTGGAGAGAGGTTTGTGGTTTTTAATCATTTAAAGTGTTTAAACCAATACAAGCTGTGAGTACAATTATATAGAGAACTGTGAGTTAAGTTAAATATTAAGGAATGCAACACTGTTGGTTAAATAATAGCATTAATGAACTTCGTTTTTTAATGAGTAAAGCGCATGAGTAACAGAAAATCTGCGTCTCATTTCGCTCCCTGTCTGTCAGTTTAACGCAACTAAATGGTCACATGACCGAATTAGCCGTAATGTGTTCGTGGTGTTTCTCCCGTTAAAGCTCATTTTCTCTGTTGGTCAAAGGCGCGTTAATAAGCTTTTATATTCATGTCATTAAATTATATCACTGTTTAGAACAGATCATTTAAGTCTATAACTCTCTCTCTCTGACTGACTCTCTTACCAGTGAACTGAACTACTGAACTAGATCTGATTGAGTCACTTTCAGAGATTTAGTTTAGAGTGTTTTTAGTCTAATCAGGTCATTTAAGTCCATTAACTCTCTCTCTCTGACTGACTCTCTTACCAGTGAACTGAACTACTGAACTAGATCTTATGAGACACTCTCAGAGATTTATTTAGAGTGTTTTTAGTCTAAATCAGATCATTTAAGTCCATCTCCTCTCTGACTGACTCTCTTACCAGTGAACTGAACTACTGAAACTAGATCTGATCTGAGAGATTTAGTTTGCATTTATTTTTATTTTTTCTAATCTTAAACAGAACAGAGTGTCCAAACATACAGAAAAACTCCTGATGAAGCGACAGAGATCCATGTGACACTATTATAAAGATGGCATTTATTAAAGAGGAGAGTGAAGACTTCAAGATTGGAGAAACATTCAGAGTCAAACATGAAGACACTGTGGAACAGACAGGTTGGTTTCATTCTCAAAGCTGAACTTAGTCATTTGATCCTTACTGAAAAGCCCAGCTCTACAAAAATGAATGATATTTTTGAAGAATCACTAAGTTTGGTTTTCTACTGCGTAAAAGAGTTGTACCTCTTCCTGCTTTTGGGTACTTTTTTTTTGTACCACCTCCGGCGAGGTTCTGAGCGAGCGAAGGCGGTACTAAAATGTCACGTGAAAACAATGCCGACTGCTTGATTGGTTTAGAGAATCGTCACCATTCACTGACCTTCTTCTTCTTCGGCGGTCACTCGAGACGAGTATGACTGTCCTCTCCGTTGGGTCACCTTATTTGTGAATCCTCAGGTGGCTGTAGAGGCCAATCCTTGATCCACAGATTCTACTGCAGTGTTGGCATTGAAAGGTTGAGGTGTTGTGTTGTGGTTGAGCCTTTCTCTGTTTGTCCTTGCGGTGCTTCCGCTTTGCATCTGCGGCGCAGCGAAGTTCTGTTTCGTGGTGTGCTGCACCTTCAAGCACTGCCTTTCTCCAATATGACCTGTTAAATGCTAAATTCTCCCAGTCGCCAGATGTGATGTTAAACTTTTTTAGGTTGGTCTTAATATTGTCCTTAAAGCGTTTCTTTGGCCCACCAGGGGCTCGTTGTCCTTCCTTTAGCTGGGAGTACAGGATCTGCTTTGGGAGACGGTTGTTGGCATGCGGATAACATGTCCTGTCCATCGGAGCTGGTGCTGCATTATAATGGTAGTGATGCTGGGCATATTTGTTTCTTCCAGAATACTGAAGTTTGTACGTTTGTCTTCCCAATTGATCCTCAAGATTTTCCTTAAGGCTCTCTGATGAAATTGTTCCAGTGCTCTCAGATGTCTGCTGTAGATTGTCCAGGATTCAGCTCCATACAACAGAGTTGGAAGGATCACAGCTCTGTAAACCAGCACCTTGGTTTGAGCCCTCAGGTCTCGGTCATCAAAGACTCTTGTCCTGAGTTTGGCATAGGCTCCGCTGGCACAGCTAAGGCGATGTTTAAATCATCGAGCGTCATCATTACACGTGCCAGATGGAGTATCCAGAATAACCCCGCCATTTTTAAATAGTTTGGCCAGAGATAGTGTTGTGGCAAAAATACTGTCAAACATCATCACTGCGTAGCACAGCAATTACACTGTGACGTGAGTGAGACGCCTTCAGGGAGACATTAGACAGCTCTTGTAGTCTTTTCAAGGTTCCTCTTCCCCCACTGTACCTTTCACCCACCTAGATAAGGCCCTTACTGCTGTTTAGTCTCTACTTAAGGACACAAACTGGAACTGAAATAAACTGACCAAAACTGGCCGTCCTTAAGGTCAGAGGTCCTGTCCCATATGTTCCTGAAACCTCACCCACAACCACGTAGACATTTATATTTTACTCATGGAATACGTTCAATGGAAACACATGTCTCAGACTACCTAGAAATCTTCACTAATGATTAAAATTTCCATAATAATAGTTACTAAACTAACTACTATTATTATGGCAACTCGGAAGAATACGCCGTGGTCAAACAAGGAGGTGCAGACTTTCCTTTGTTTGGTGGCCGAAGAGAGGATCCTGCGAGAGATTGATAGGTCAACGAGGAACGAAAGGTGTCGCTATGATGACCGGGTACTATTTGTGGCGGTACTGTCTGCAATGGAAAACGGAACGAAAAGTGAGCTGAGTCGAACCGAGTCGAGTCGAGCTGGTACTGGTAATGGAAAAGCGCCATAAGAGCACATTTACTTTCTATTCCAGAACATGTTCAATGAAATCTTATGTATCACATAAATCTTTTACAGCGGGTCGATTCGCACAGGATTAGTATTACCTAAGGTAATTTTTCAGGACTTTTTTACAGAAGGGAAAAAACTAAAATCCCTGAGAAGCTCTGCTTATTATTACTTTACGCCACCTCTCCATGTTAAACTAGTCCCGTCCGAATAAGGTTATAGACGCATTAACATTTAAAAGCTTGATTTTCATGACAGAGTATAGAAATCATGTAAACATTTAGGTGTGATTTGCAATGGTAACTGAACAATGTTTATATATGAATAAAAGCCTTGATCAAATATGTAATCATATACAGTGATTCCTAGGCTTTCATTGGATGGACCACATTTTTTTATTTTATTAAAAATATCTATATGACAGTAGGTGGTTCTTCCCTGTGGTATTGAAAATCGATACATTTCAAGGTATCGTATCAAAAAAGTAAAATTACGCGTCAGAACGATTGTCTGAAGCCCATATAGAATCACGATTTGCGCCACCTTGACGATCAGGTCATCATATTATATTAGCACGCACATCATTTGCTTCTCAGATTTCTCTGCCGAAAAAGGAAGCTTGTCAGCAGTGCGAGGAGTATGGCAGCGAACGCAGCGTCTCATGGGTTGCACCAGTAACCAGAGACATTCTCTTTCATAGGTTTACTCTACGCTGCATATTCAGTGGGAACGAAATACCAAACTCGCCAAGCCAAGAGCTGCATAGGTCAATACTTCTACAATGACCAGATAACTTTCTTGACTGGTTCAAGCAGACAAAACATGGGAACCTGTAACTTAGCCATGTCGATATTAGATTACCCTGGTTGTCATCTCTATTAATCTCCAGTATTATTACATTGTTTGATACAATATTGTTTTATTCGATATTAGGTAAATGTGAATTTTTTTATATTGGTTTATTATTAACCATATGTTACTTGTATTTATATTGTTTAAAGATATAAGTTAAAATTGTGTCCCGTTTGGCCCTTTAAATAAAGGGGTATTATTTTTTGACAAAGTGTGTGCGGTTTCATTTTCTTAAGTACCGTTTCAAGAACCGTTTAAGCACCGGAACTTAAAAAATACAGAGTAGGTACTGGTATCGGATAAAACCCAAACGATACCCAACCCTAATCAGCTTTGCAATCCTTTAATTGGTAAGTTTTGTCAGGGCATGAAGAAATATAGAGCTGCGTATCATCAGCATAGCAATGAAAACTAATGCCATGCTTCCTAATGATATCTCCTAATTGTAGCATATACAGAGTGAATAGCAGCGGTCCTAGTACTGAGCCTTGTGGTACACCATACTGAACTTGTGATCGATTAGACATCTTTTCATTTACTGCTACAAACTGATAACAATCATATAAATGATTTGAACCATGCAAATTTAATTCCACTAATGCCAACATCATCATCATAATCATAATAATAAAATCTATTCAAATGAATGTTGTGGAAATTCTCAAATGCAGCACTAAGATCGAGTAACACTGATAGAGCGATACAACCACGATCGGATGATAAGAGAAAATCATTTGTGACTCTAATGAGAGCTGTCTCTGTACTGTGATACTGTCTAAATCCTGACTGGTACTCCTCGCAGAGACCATTAATGTTTTGTTTTTGTTTTTTGTAAAAAAGACAAAGTTGTGAGGATTGCCTTTTCTAGCATAATTGACAGAAAGGGTAGATTCAGGATCGGCCAGTAATTGACATTCTTTAGGATCAAGTTGCATTTTTTTAATAAGAGGTTTGAAAGCGGGCATGGTAGCCATCCCCATCCAAGTTTCCTCACCGCAGCCACAATGTTAGCTCCGTTATCACTAGTGACACAAGCCAACCTCTTCTCATCCAGAGACCATTCTTTAAGAGCAGATTGCAGAGCCTCGGACAGGTTATCACTTGTGTGACTTTCTGGCATGAATGAAGTCTCCAAACACCTTGACTTCAGCTCCCAGTTGATGTTCAGGTAATGAATGGTCACGCTCATATAGGGCATCATATTAACGCGAGTCAATCTATCCTTCATTTCCACATACTTCTCTGGTACTGCCTTTTTTGAAAAGTATTTTCTGTCAGGGGGGACATATTGTTTGGCTGGCTTCTCGACTAAGTTAAATGGTAAGTTTTCCTCCACCAGAAGCCTGGTCATGCTATCCGTCAGGGTTCGCCACCGATGGCTGTCGTGTTGGTACTTAGTCCCTTTAGCAAATGACAGGGTTCCTACGCAGTTTGGAAAAGTATGGAATTTGATTTGAGTAATTTCCAGGTCTGGAAAAGTATGGAAAAAATTAATCAGAGTATGGAAAAATATTGATGTTTCCAGACTATTGTGCCTATTTCGTTTTCTAAATATAAAATTAATCATTTCTAAATGTATATAATATGCAATCGTCTTTTTCATGGCATTTGGATTAGGCTGCCAGCGAGTGCTGCCTAATAGGGCTGGGTATTGAGACAAATTTCACAATTCGATTCGATTTCGATTCACAAGCTTGCAATTCGATTCGATTTCGATTCGATTCAATATCGATTGTTTTGGATATCATTTACAATAAATGGCAATTTTTCTCAAGAGAATCAAATCTCTTAACTAATGCTATAAACTGTGGGAGTCTAGTTGTAGCCTACTAGGGTTCATTAGCCTAGAAGGTAATAATGAATGAATCACTTAAATTACACTTTTATTTATTTTTATAATAAGAAGATTATATGAAATATAAACATTTAAATGGTGGCTGTCATAAAAACTTGCCAGATTTATTCAAATATGAAGGTAATAATGAATGAATCACTTAAATTACACTTTTATTTATTTTTTATAATAAGAACATTTAAATGGTGGCTGTCATAAAAACTTGCCAGATTTATTCAAATATGCATTAAATATTGAAGAACATTAAGATTATAATGCATATGTAATATGGTGTATATATTTAGCAAAATGCTCCTCTCTAGAGTTATTTTTTTTCTAGCTGACTAACGAGTTTATGTGGGTTTTCTGAGGTAAATATGACGATACATTGATTACAAGCTGTTTAACTGACGTATTTCCACGGTTGAAACACTGATTGAGCGAATCAATGTGACATTATACAGATTTCGATAAGTTGTACTCTATCTTTAACACACTTTCAGATGCTCATTCATGTTTATTTGGCGCTGTGACTGGTATTATTAACCCGGAAGAGAGATCAGCGCTGCTGCTTCTCTAGAGCTGCGCCAGAGCGATCTCACGCTTCAGCGCCAAAACTCTATTTATGTTTTTGAATTTCTAAAGAAAATGGACGTAATTTGAAAATTGAGACTTTTTCATATCAATAGTAGCAAAGGACAAAGATTATTGCGATTTTTTTTGGATGCACGCAGCCGCGATACAATGTCTCATTCATTCAAATGAAACAGGATGACTAATCGATTCATTGTGGGTAAATTGTGGGTAAGTGCGTCACCATGTAGCGCCGTTGTGCGTCAGGATCATCAATCTACTTTCCTATTCTAATTAAAGGCAAAAGCGCCAATAGAATGTAACATACTTGTTAGCAGTTGAATTTTAAAACAATTTATCAGAACAAGTTAAAGACAACCACTATTCAACCAGAAAGAAGTCATATAACCATTCCAATAACTCCGAAGCTGTTCAGTTTTGCTAAAAAACCTGCATAGTTCCCTTTAAATATGGTCGGAAAAATCTGTAGTGAGGTCTGGAAATTTGAGTCTGGAAAAGTATGGAATTTTGAAATGGAAATTGTGTAGGAACCCTGAAATGAGTCTGCGATCCCCACCTGTCGTCCCTGGCCTGAGGTTGTAGGCTGATCTTCAGACGAAGCACTTGTGGTGCTGCCAAGGGGAGTGACATTTGGGTTTTTGCCACCAAGTTAGCCCTCTCTGGCATGTTTCGATGGAATAGTTGCCTATCACCTGCTATTGTCGGCTGCGCAGCTCAACCACGTGAGAGAATTGTGTTAAATAAGCACATGCAATTAAAAACTGAGGTCCTGCTTTGGGGCTATCACATATGCACCTGTAATTTAATGCTTTAGCAAAATAGAATTCAAATTATAGGCTACAAGCGACATTACACAGGTACTCTTGCATACAGGCCTAATAGTCAATACGAATGGAATGCTATTATGTGTCATGAAACATTCCACTCCCCAACTCGCGAAAGGTCCGATTCTGGGCAAGTTTGTTTTTGTTTTTTGATAACTGAAAGTTTGAACATTTTTAGTTCAGAGTTAACAATATTGTGAAGAGGTTTTGAGATTGCATTTGACACCTATCTTTGTAGCTTAGTGCTTTTAGTTTCTAACATATATATTGTTGAATTGATACTGTTGATTTTGATGTGTGTTGCTTTGTACCATTAAACTGGGCTTAATTTGTATTCCTCTTTTTTTGTCTTAGACCTGATGGCACTAAAAGAGGAGAGTCAAGAACTGAATGAAATAGAAGAGAAAGACCAGTGTGACAAACAGAATGATCTTATTAATGAAGAAAAGTCATTTAGTTGCTCACAGACTGAATATACTTCACGAAAAGAAGCAAATGGAAGTTATTTGACCTGCCAACAGTGTGGAAAAAGTTTCAACAGAAAAGGACATCTTAAAGTCCACATGAGAATTCACACTGGAGAGAAGCCTCACACCTGCAAAAAGTGTGGATTAAGTTTCACTCAAGAAGTAAGCCTTAACAGGCACTTTAGAATTCACACTGAAGAGAAACCTTTTACCTGCCAACAGTGTGGAAATAGTTTCAGTAGGGAGGGAAGCCTCAAAAGCCACATGAGAATTCACACTGGAGAGAAGCCTTACATATGCACTCAGTGTGGGAAACGTTTCACTCAAAAAGTACACCTTGAAAGCCACATGAGAAATCATACAGGAGAGAAGCCTTTTACCTGCAAACAGTGTGGAAACAGTTTTATTCAAAAAGGAAGCCTCGAAAGCCACATGAGAATTCACACTGGAGAGAAGCCGTTCACTTGCAAACTGTGTGGAAATAGTTTCAGTAGGGAGGGAAGCCTCAAAAGCCACATGAGAATTCACACCGGAGAGAAGCCTTACATATGCCATCAGTGTGGGAAACGTTTCACTCAAAAAGGACATCTTGAAAGCCACATGAAAAGTCACACCGGAGAGAAGCCTTTTACCTGCAAACTGTGTGGAAACAGTTTTATTCAAAAAGGAAGCCTCGAAAGTCACATGAGAATTCACACCGGAGAGAAGCCGTTCACCTGCAAACTGTGTGAAAACAGTTTCAATCGAAAAGCAAGCCTTAAAAGCCACATGCGAATTCACACCGGAGAGCAGCCTTTCACATGCCCTCAATGTGGAAAGAGTTTTACACATAAACCAACTTTTAATAACCACATGAGAATTCACACCGGAGAGAAGCCTTTCTGCTGCCAACTGTGTGGAAAGGGTTTCGTTCGAAAAGCAAGCCTTAAAAACCATGTGAGGACTCATACTGGAGAGCAACCTTTCACATGCCCTCAATGTGGGAGAGGTTTTACTTATAAAACAACCTTTAACGCCCACATGCGAATTCATACCGGAGAACAGCCTTACACCTGCCCTAAATGTGGAAGGAGTTTTAGACAAAAACCAACCTTTAATGCCCACATGCGAATTCATACTGGAGAGCAGCCTTACACCTGTCCTACATGTGGAAAGAGTTTTAGACAAAAAACAACTTTTAATACCCACATGAGAGTTCACACTGGGGAGAAGCCGTTCACCTGCCAACAGTGTGGAAAGAGTTTCACTGCAAAAGGAAACCTTAAAAAACACATGAGAGTTCACACTGGAGAAAAGCCTTTCACAGGTGATTAGTGTGGAAAGAGTTTTGCATGTAAAGTAAATCGTGATTCACGCTTTTCAGTGTAATAAAAAAATTAGACCCCATTTTGTTAATTTTGTGGGAAGTGTTTAACTTGGCACTAGAACATTTAGGCTACACTCATGCCGCAACTGAAGTTATAGGGATTGTAGTTGATCTATGATTCGTACTGGCCAGCTGCTCCCCAGATTGGAACGCATTGTGATTTATGCAGACTGATCTCATGAAGTAGCGTGTGTATGACACGCCAATTCGTATTTCCATTTTTGGCGTGCTATCAAGACGCATAATCGCTTTTCAGCGTATTTATGAACGCCGTTGACTTAACGTTATTACTGTATACAAAAATATATGACTTACCTCAACCCCGTCCCTAAACCTAACCGTCACTGGAGTTAATGGCATTTATGACTGTTCCCTTACCATCCTAGGTAAAAAAAAGATATGACTTACCTCAACCCCGTCCCTAAACCTAACTGTAGGAGCCATTTCAATGTTTATGTCCAGGTTTGGCCATTAGGTGGCACTAGGGTTATGGCACATGAATTGGGGCTCATCTACTTAGGAGGTTAGCTGTAATCAAGGACAGGTGTGCCAGAGGGAAAAGGGCAAACTAGTTTTTGACCGCCACCGAGGCTGTGGTTGAATGTTTTTGTTATGTGAAAGTGTTGGTGAAGATGGAATACTGTTCCGTTAGGAAAAGGAAATCCTTGTGTAAATCCAATAAATCTCTCACAACAGAGAAGAAAACCGAACTTTAAGCTTTGTTGCATTATTCAATCAAGCCAAATCGACCACGGTAAGCGCGTCAACTATAGCCCACTTCAACCCTCTGCATAACCCTCGGCTGTTTTAAGCTTAGCGGTTACACTAACCGTCACTGGGGTTAATGGCATTTATGACTGTTCCCTTATCATCATAGGAAAGAAAAACATAGCTCCCCAGATGTAGATCTACATTTTGCTTTGTTTTGGTCGGACATTTGACGGCGTGTACGGACACGCGGAATGACGCGGACGTTAATGGCGTAGACAAACACGCATACACGCGGATACACGCGGATAGCTCAAAATGCGCCGAGATAACACGCCACTTGACTCGAAATTGGCGTGTATGTTTACGCAAAAGTCATGATGTCATGTTGGATTTATGCATTACTTGCAAAGTTTAATGCGTGTACTTTGAAGTCCTGTCAGTTTTAAGCATCAAGCCCAAGAAGACTGGAATTCACACGCTGTTTTCCATCGCATTCTCATCCCAAGGCGTCATATCTGACGCTTTTGCCAAAGCGTAGACCTCCAACGCACATGGCACCCTTTAGCGTCAATATAACATGCACAGAGTATGGGTAGGTTTAGTTCTGGGGTAGGGTTAGGGTTAGACCACTAGGAGGCGCCTTCTGGCCCATATATATCTGCGTCTCATAATGACGCTAAAGGGTGCCATGTGTGTTGGATGTCCACACACAGCACCTGAATGCCAAATTCAGTTCTCTTTCTCTTCTTTTTGAGCTTGGACACGTGCACACAAAATGAAGTCAAAATGCCCGTCTCTGCGAGTGTCCTTGTAAACAGTTGGTCATGTGTTGTAAACAACTGAAAAAGAAAATGGATGCATATCATTATATTGGATCAGTGCATTTGTCTTAAAGTGACAGCAGCCTAATATTCACAGCTGTTTGGCACCAATGTTAGTCAAACATTTGTAGTCAAACATTTAACAAAGATACATTTTAATTTAATTTATACAGTAAAGTTATTTTATATATTTTTTGTTTTTCCAATATCGTGCAGCACTACAAGACGGGCAACAAAATACTAGGCTCTTTGTCCATTGGATAAAGATGAATTGTCACCTGTAATAAAACCAAGTATTTTCACCATATGGAGGTCTGCTTTTGAATTTTGCCTTTAGGGCCCATTTTGTTCAGCCTAAATATAGCCCTGATCATCATAGCTAATTGAGTTTTTTAATATGGGATGTAAAGACTCCGTTCGGGTCTGATCAAGGGGGAATTTGCATATCATAATTAATAATTGATAATTAATAATTATTCATACAGATTTGGATCAGACCAGTCGTACATGTTAATAAATCCCTCTATGAGGGGAGGCTTATTAATTTTACCCATATGCATACTTGTGCATCCCCGCAATTAACCACAAATTAATTGTAATTAATTGCAAGGACCACGTTTTACAAGACAGGCAAAATCAATTAGCTCAATTAAGTTATAGAGCTTGTGAAAACAAATTCTGTGGCCACAAGAATTTAGCTTTCCTGCTCTGTAAACAAATACCCTTTTAGGTATGTTTAGTTCTGTAAAGCGTGTAGCTTGATCGACATTTCATTGACTCGTATTATGAGCAGACAGTAAATCAGTCAGAAATGAGCATAATTGCATTTAATATATATGGCATTTACTACATTACAATGATACATGTATTTACAAACATTAAAACACAAACTAAGACGACGCAGGGCGTTTAGACAATGGATACGCATAAGTGAGTTGAAGGGAGAGAGAGAGTGAGAGAGAGTAGCTGTGTCCCAATGTGAAGGCTGCGTACTTCGAAGGCTGTAGACTTCGAAGGATGCAGCCTATTTGGCCTTCGAAGGACGCTTCATATAGGCTTCGTGGGATTTCCTAATTGCGCAACCAGGTGTTCCCTATTACTGCTCCTGGCGCCAAGCAACGGAGCGAGAGTACACCCTGATCATTCATTTAATGAAACTGAGTAAACAGCTATGGAGACAGGCTATTGTCATTTTGTTGTTTTATATTTTACTGGAAATTTTATGTTTTATATTTTCCTGTCTTTAAATGAGGGGCAATATATATAAAATCACATAATTTCAATTCACATAGGCTAACCACTTATATATTTATATATACTTATATTTCGAAATATACTTATATATTTCGACACATATTTCGAGTCATGTATTTTCGGCTCAAGAGTTGGCCAGAGCTGGTTTAATGCTAGAGGCTGCGTCCTGAATAGTCAGATTACACTGTAAACTGTTCAAATATTGGATGTTAACCTATGTAAATATTGTAATGAAATAGCCTAAAAAATAATAATGATAAAACATAGGCACATATATAGCCTATATTCAAATGTTAATCGTACCTTGATGCGATTTTGTAGGGTTTTCTTTTTATTGTCTACATGGACCATGGTGAATATATTTATACAGGCTGTCAATCCTATTTGAATATTTTAAACCAGTTGGATGTAAAAAGTCCAGTGCAAACGTCGTTACTTCCGCTCGTCGTCGTCAGCTGTCAGTCACAGTTGCTAGGCGACAAGAACAATCCTCCGCAGGCTAGACCGGTCCGAGCGCTTCAGGTGCGCACTTTGATATGGGACGAAGTTGAAGTTAGCAACAATTTGTTAATATTGTGACAATGGACCAACAATTTGTTACTTTAATTTTTTAAATAACCAGTGGGAGCCTGGGAGAATGTAAGGAACTTCATACTGCGATAGTATTCATGTACAAACCGAATTCCATAAAAGTTGGGACACTGTACAAATTGTGAATAAAAACAGAATGCAATGATGTGGAAGTTTCAAATTTCAATATTATATTTAGAATACAACATAGATGACATATCAAATGTTTAAACTGAGAAATTTTTAAGGGAAAAATAAGTTGATTTTAAATTTCATGGCATCAACACATCTCAAAAAAGTTGGGACAAGGCCGTTTTTACCACTGTGTGGCATCCCCTCTTCTTTTAATAACAGTCTGCAAACGTCTGGGGACTGAGGAGACAAGTTGCTCAAGTTTAGGAATAGGAATGTTGTCCCATTCTTGTCTAATAAAGGCTTCTAGCTGCTCAACTGTCTTAGGTCTTCTTTGTTGCATCTTCCTCTTTATGATGCGCCAAATGTTTTCTATGGGTGAAAGATCTGGACTGCAGGCTGGCCATTTCAGTACCCGGATCCTTCTTCTACGCAGCCATGATGTTGTAATTGATGCAGTATGTGGTTTGGCATTGTCTTGTTGGAAAATACAAGGTCTTCCCTGAAAGAGACGATGTCTGGATGGGAGCATATGTTGTTCTAGAACTTGGATATACCTTTCAGCATTGATGGTGCCTTTCCAGATGTGTAAGCTGCCCATGCCACACGCACTCATGCAACCCCATACCATCAGAGATGCAGGCTTCTGAACTGAGCGCTGATAACAACTTGGGTTGTCCTTGTCCTCTTTAGTCCGGATGACATGGCGTCCCAGTTTTCCAAAAAGAACTTCAAATTTTGATTGGTCTGACCACAGAACAGTTTTCCACTTTGCTAGAGTCCACTTTAAATGAGCCTTGGCCCAGAGAAAACGCCTGCGCTTCTGGTTCCCGTTTAGATATGGCTTCTTTTTTGACCTATAGAGTTTTAGCCGGCAACGGTGAATGGCACGGTGGATTGTGTTCACTGATAATGTTTTCTGGAAGTATTCTTGAGCCCATGTTGTGATTTCCATTACAGTAGCATTCCTGTGTGTGATGCAGTGCCGTCTAAGGGCCCGAAGATCACGGGCATTCAGTATGGGTTTCCGGCCTTGACCCTTATGCACAGAGATTGTTCCAGATTCTCTGAATCTTTGGATGATATTATGCACTGTTGATGATGATAACTTCAAACTCTTTGCAATTTTTCTCTGAGAAACTCCTTTCTGATATTGCTCCACTTTTTTTTGCCTCAGCATTGGGGGAATTGGTGATCCTCTGCCCATCTTGACTTCTGAGAGACACTGCCACTCTGAGAGGCTCTTTTTATACCCAATCATGTTGCCAATTGACCTAATAAGTTGCAAATTGGTCCTCCAGCAGTTCCTTATATGTACATTTAACTTTTCTGGCCTCTTATTGCTACCTGTCCCAACTTTTTTGGAATTTGTAGCTCTCATGAAATCCAAAAGGAGCCAATATTTGGCATGGCAATTCAAAATGTCTCACTTTCAACATTTGATATGTCATCTATGTTGTATTCTAAATATAATATTGAAATTTGAAACTTCCACATTATTGCATTCTGTTTTTATTCACAATTTGTACAGTGTCCCAACTTTTATGGAATTGGGTTTGTACAAATGTAGCCTACTTTTTTCCCTCACAGGACAACAACACTACACGTTTTACATTAAACGACACAAAACAAAAATATATTATAGTTTAAATGTATCAACCTTGCAAACACTCGGAGACCCTTACAAAAATAAGCAAATATCCAGAGCCATGAATTCTCTTTTGTGTACACATTTAAAGTTGCATAAAA